CATTGCAGTAAGATACTCTTACACATAATTCTCGAGAAGATAAAAGCCCTTTTTACTACCTAACATTGCGGAGGAACAAGCAGGTTTCGTCCCCGGACGTGATACTAGAGAACAAATTTTAAACGTACGGCAGATTGTAGAAAAATCCAGAGAATTCAACATCACAACATATTTGTGCTTCATAACTACCGATACAAAAATGAGACTATTAAGAAGTCTAGTTTTTCCTGTTTTTACTTATGCATCGGAATGCTGGACCCTTACTGTGAAAGACAAAAAGAACATAGATGTATTTAAGATGTACTGCTGGAGACGAATGCTGAGAATACCATGGGTGGTCCGAAAGAACAAATGAATCCATACTGAACCAGCTAAAAATAAAGAAAATACTAAGAACACAAATATCAAAACAAATAATAAGCTATTTTGGACATGTGCTTCAAAGAAATGGTCTTGAAAAACTTACCATCCAGGGAAAAGTAGAAGGCAAAAGAAATAGAGGTAGATCTCCCACACGATACACCATATTGTTGCTACCATTGGCGCTCCATTGTCAGAATGCGCTAGAATGGCAGAAGTTAGAAAAACGTGGAGGAACATTGGGAAATTTCAAAATAAATAACGGTTGCGTTTCAAGCAACCGTCATTTATTTCCTCAACGTTTTGCTATCTTCTGCCTTTCTAGCGCATTCTGGGGCCATTTTCTCAACCCCAGGACAAAAGAATGCCCTACCACTCATCAACTCATCCGCCCTAAAGTCAAAGCCGTTGGTCAGTTAGTGGGGAATTGCTTATACCGGAAATCACTCGGATGCCAGAGCATCATTTGTTATCTAGCATGATGCTCTGGATGACTATAATCAAGATCATCACGTGGGTAGGTGAGGTTGACAAATAAAACTATATAAAACAATAATACGCCTAGTCCTAAAATATGGTTCAGAGACCTGGAATCTAACAAAAAGTAATGAACACATGTTAGGATGTTTCAAAAGAAAAGTACCAAGACAAATCTATGGAGTAGTGAACAACAATGAAGAGTCGAGAAGCCAATACAACTTCGAACTTTATAGAATATACCTGAAACTAGATATTTTAAAAATAATATTAATATAGAACGTCTGAGGTGGATAGGGCATGTAATACAGATGGAACAAAATGACCCAGCTAAATGATAACATCGATGAAGACATGAGAAAATATGGGAATACGTGTTTGTCGGAAAAAGGCGATAGATAGGGACGACTGGAGAAAAATTCTTGAGGAGGCTAGAACCCACACGGGGTTGTTAAGCCAGAATGATGATGATAAACAACATCATCTGCATAACATAGCATTTTTACCTCGGCATTCCTCATTTTATATCTTTCACTTTACAAATTTTTAATATTAAATCATCTATAATGATAGTAAATGGTAATGAGCTTAGTAAATCACTTTGGCTGCTCCCACTGCATTCTTTAACAGATTCTGTAAGTTATCCTTTTACTCGGTATTTAATTGTATTTTCTCTGTAAATATCTTCAGTTGTTCTGCTTACATTTTACGGAATTCTCCACTTATGCAACAAATCTATAACATCCTCTAGATACGAAGCACTGGAATGCTGGTTTATTATACTCTATTTTTCTTATATTTATCACATAATAAATACTATGTTCGTACACGATCTGTAGGATCTAAAACCATGTTGTTCTTCTACTAATCCTCTGAGACTATCTATTTAGTTAGTTGTCACAAAATTATGGTGATGCATTTGTATTTTTCTTAATTCTATTCAAAGATGTGATTTCACCATAATTTGTTCTATGTATACTAATTTAAGATGTTTATGAATACTGAGATCAATAATTTATAGAATAGAATAGAATAGAAATATGCTTTATTGTCACTGAAAATTATTGAACAATTTTATGGACAAAGCTAAAAAATAAATCAGTCAAATAATACAAAAAGTATAAAACAAAAACAATATAGTAAAAAACAGAATAACACAATTTTAAATTAGTAAAATTATTGTATAACCTACATAATTTGTACAGACAACAACAAATGAGACAAATTGTAGCCACTGCTTGAGACACCCAAATGTAATTATAAACAATACTAATTTTGTTTCTTTGTTATACATTAAGAAACTCGTCAACTGAATAATATGGTCTTTCTGAGAGATAGATTTTTGTCACCTTACAAAACTTAATGAAGGATGTTGCGGATTTAATTTCTCTTGGAAGGTGATTATAAAGTTTCTTTGCACGATATAGAATAGAATTCTTTACTAGCTGAGTGGACGGGATCGGCAAATAAACGTTACAATCCGAATTTCTAATGGAGTAGCCATGGTCAGGTCTATCGGGAAAAATGTTTAGATGCTTTCGAATCAAACAAACCGTTTTCAAAATAAATAAAGAGGGAAGCGTCAAAATTCCGTGATTTTTGAAGTAGGTCTTGCAATGAGTTGTTTGTTTGAGACCAAATAGATAACGGATTGCTCTTTTTTGCAATTTAAAAATAGTATTAAATTGGGCCGCTGTACTAGAACCCCAAAATGGAAGCCCATATCGAAGATGGGACTCGAACAATGAGAAATATGCCATTTTGGCAGAAGATAAATTTAGTTCCTTCGAAACAGATCTTATTGCAAAGCAAGCTGAGGCTAGTTTCTTCCTTAAGGAGTCAGTATGCAAGGACCATTTGAGATCACTGTCAATGAGAATACCTAGAAATTTCACGGAATTTACGATATTGATTTGGCTCTCATTCAAAAGCAAGGGTTGCATGTCTCCTTTATAAGATAATGCTACAGTCTTATCCACGTTAAAGCTAAGTAAGTTGGAGTCTGACCAAGCCTTGATTATAAGTAAATCATCGGTTATAATTGAATGAAGCGTTGAAATATCAGAGCTGCTCCAAGTGATACTGGTATCATCAGCAAATAGAAAAATTTTCCCTTTAATTTTCAAGTAAGTGATGTCATTAATGAAAAGTAAAAAAAGAATGGGACCTAATACTGAACCTTGCGGTACTCCACACTCAATATCTTTACAACTAGAGTCGGTGTCATTTATTCTAACCAATTGTTTCCTACCTAGCAAGTAAGTTTTGAACCAGTTCAAAGACACACCCCGAATTCCATAGAAAGTTAATTTTTTTAATAGAATGTCGTGATTTACGCAGTCAAAGGCTTTGGAATAGTCGCAGAAAACGGTGGCGGAGGAGAGGTTACTGTTTAGTGATAGATATACATCATGTAACACAGAAAATATGGCATCACTAGTGCATTTATTAGACAAAAAGCCGAACTGATTTTGCGATAAAATATTATATTTAAGGAGAAAGGACATAAGTCGAACTTTTATAAGTCTATCAATAATTTTTGATAGTGCTGGTAACAAGGCAATAGGTCTATAGTTGCAGGCATCAGATTTTTCTCCACCTTTATGAAGAGGAATGACGATGGCAGTCTTTAGGCAGTTAGGGAATGTACTTTTTTCAAGGGAATCATTTACTAGCGAGACCATGACGTCCAAAACATTATGCGGTAGATTTGAGAAAATTTTAATAGATAATCCATCTGTACTACAGGACGATGTGCTTTTTATACTACGAATTGTTGAAATGAGTTTCGTCTTATCAACTGGTCTTAAAAAGAAGGTATCAGCAATGTTTTTTAAATTAGAGAGATAGGAAACTGGATCTTGATGTGGCGAAATAGTTGAGGTTATATTTTTACTCACATTAACAAAGTAATCATTTAGATTTTCGGGGTTAGGAAAAGAAAAGGTTTGATCCGCTGTACTGGTTTTATTTCGAAAATCGTTTATTATTGACCAAGTTTCTTTTGAAATATTTTTGGAGCTTGTTAAGCGATTATGAAAGTAGGATTTTTTGGCTACTTTGAGTAGTTTTATATAGCACTTTCTGTACTTGTTGATATTATCAGAGATGGGGATACTGTCATTAAATTTTTTAATATATAGCAGAGAACGCATATTTTTCGCAGATATGCGAATGCCTTTGATAATCCAAGACTTATTATGTTTTGGCCTGATGTTTAATAGAGGAAATGCTTTATTAAAAATAGATACAAGTCTATTTATAAAAATTACAGTCAATGTCTCCAGAAGAAAAAACTCCAGTCAGAAGTCAAGCATGAATTATAGAATTTACGAAAGTTTTGAGTGGAAAAAATCTTACCTAATCGTCGGGTTTTTGAGTGAGGTGTTTGTAAACTGCTAAACTTGGTATATACCGTTTCATGATCAGAAAGCCCCCCACTAATAACTGTAGAATGGACGTCAGCAGGTGGAAAATCGGAAACCACATAATCAATTGTCGAGGATGATGTTTTTGAGATTCTTGTTGGAGAATTAAACGTGCATTGTGAGACCATATGATTCAAAAATAGTTACCAAAGACAGTTGGGTCGCACAAACAGCAGCGTAGTCAATATTAAAATCACCACATAAAATTGTTCTGCTTTTAATGGGCAGAATATCTAACAAATTTAGCAGGCTCTGAAAAAATAGTTCAGTATCAGAGCTAGGTGATCTATAAATGCAAATAATGTATAGATTAAATTTCTTATTAAAAATCAAAGAAAATTCGAAGTAGTTTTCACCCAGCAAATAGTCATATTTCGAAACTGAAGAAAAATCATTGTTATTTGAAAGATATAATAATAATATATAAAGATATAATCATTAACAATATCTTTGCCAGCTATGCAATCGAATAGCAATATTAATAATATTATTTCTAAAATTTGTTGTACAAACACTTACAAAATGCATTGAAAATTCGTTCGCTTTTTCAGAGTGTTAAATAAATGATTTATATATTTTTATATCTTTTTATATGTATCGTGTAAACTCGACAAACACATACATAACGTTGTACCATATGTTAGACAGGCATAAATAAAAAGCACCTGTATTCAAATATTTGTTTATTGCATCGAATTACCTAAAACGACATTTTTATTTTCAGTATCTTATGAGATGACTGCGATAAAATATGTATGGAAAAACGGCGAAGACGTTTTACGAAAATCCCCTAGTCTGATGACTCTAAACGCTTATCTCATAAATAATTCAACGCTGGTTTGTCCCATCAAATCTAGTTGGAGAGGTAAGTTCATTAAATAAAGTGAATTCTTGAGAATTGTTCCGTTTTATACAAATCAATACATTATTCGTAATAATTAAGGAATGGCAGGCAGCCAGTAGTACACATTTAATATTTTAATCCTTTGGTTAAAAAAATTGTTTAATTTTATAAATTTATGGGCAGTCTTATAAGTTTGGGTCCATATTTACCAATAGATTTTAACACTGCTAAGAAGTCAGACAGAATTATAATATGGGCGGAATCAACTTCATTTACATATAATAAAGCTTCATATTGAAATAGCCTCTGCTGTATAAATCAAAGTCTCCGGTTTCAATTTGAATTTTTTTTTGTAAATGTCCCCATAGTATAAAAAAGCGCATTCTGTTTTATGTGAAGATTTAGACGCATCTGTACATAGAGCTATTGACTCTTTGTAATTGCTCTTTATACATAGAACAATGGTTAATGCCTCGACAACTATGATAATTGGCATGGTACAGTCAGGTACCTAGTGTAGTGAGTGTGTGTGTGTGTGTGTAGAGTAATTGTCTTGATACTTAGCAAAGTCGACGTCATTGTCTTTGCTAAGAGACGCTAATTGTATCCGAACGTCTGTGGTCCCTGTGGTGAGTACCGATCGCACAAAGATAAAGATTAACTTCATTTATTAATTTTTAATAAACGAAATTTTCCACCCAGATGGGATTCGAACTCACGACCTTTAGATTTAAAGGTAGGCGCTCTTACCACTGAGCCACAGAGGGGGTTAATGTTTTTATTTAAATATATGTTTTTACTATAATTTGGTATAATAATATCTGTATGCGAAAAAGAAAGAATAGTAAGTGTAGTTTTTGAATATGTAAATCGTTTTATCTATATTGTTTCTTTCTCTTTACGTGCCAAGGTTGGCAATCATCACTGCTATTGTAACTTTTGACAGTATAGCCCGAAAGAATTCAGTTGAGCTGCATCCAAACCCTTCTCTGAGGTTTCTCAGCCAGAACATTCTCCTTCTACCTATACTGCGCTTTCCTTGAATCTTTCCCTGCATTATTAGCTTTAGGAATTAATATCTGTTACCACGTGTTATTTTTTTTGAACCTATTCTCTATCCTTCCATTGTTGGATATAGGTCTCCCCCAGTTCTCTCCATCTTTCCCTATCTTGAGCTGTTCTCTGCCATGTGGTACCTCCTTGTTTCCTGATGTCATCTTTCCACCTCATCTGTGGTCTGCCTCTTGATCTCTTTGCATTTTATGGACGCCATTTTCCGATGGCATTGTTCCATCGTCCGTCTTGGAGATGTTCATTGTGTCCAGCCCATTTCCATTTTAGTTTTGCTACTTATTCTATCGCGTCTACTGTCTATGTTCTGGTTCTGATCTACTGATTACGTTTTCTATCTCTCAGTGATATACCCAACATTTGTCTCTCCATCGCTCTTTGTGCCTTCCTTATCCTATCCAAATTGGCCTGCGTAAATGTCCATGTCTGTGCTCCGTAGGTGAGCACCGGTATTATGCAGGAGTTATATACCTTGCTTCGTAAGTATAGAGGGATTGTTTGATTTTTTAAAACGTAAGAAAGTTGGCCGAACGCTGCCCATCCCATTCTTACTCGTCTCGATATTTCGGCTGTTTGATTTTCTCTGTTAGCTCTGATTGCTTGTCCTAGATAGATTATACTCATTTACCTGTTCTATTTTTTCTGTTTTTATTTTTATTGTCTCTTGGTCTTCCATGTTTGTCATTACTTTTCTTTTGTTGCAGTTAATTTTTAGGCCTTTTTGCAGTGATTTTTCATGAAGTTCATTCAGAACTAATTCCAGTTCTTGTCGTTCCGAGGAGATCAGGAGTATATCATCCGCATATCTAAGGTGATTTAGGTATTTTCCGTTAATACATATTCCTCTGTTTTCCCAATCAATTGATTTTATTATGTCTTCGAGGGTCAAGGTAAACAGTTTAGGTGAAATTATATCGCCTTGTCGGACTCCTCGTTTAACTTTTATATTATCCGTTATTAAATTGTCGTCCAGAATTACGGTCATGGTTGCGTTTTGGTAAATATCATGTATCAATTGTTGGTATCTTGAATCTATTCTACTATTGACCAGAGCTTCTTCAACCGCCCAGTGTTCAATGCTGTCGAAAGACTTTTCATAATCTACGAATGCTAAGTACAGCGGAAGGTTGTATTCATTGGTTTTTTCAATTAAGATTTTAAGCGCTTGTAGATGGTCGGTCGATTGTGCTGTATTTTTACCTGAATCCGGCCTGTTCCACTGGTTGGTAGTTATCAAGTTTATAGGTTAGTCGGTTGTTTATTATTCTTTGAAGGTTTTATATAGTTGTGACAAAAGGGAAATAGGATGATAGTTGTTTAGGTCTGTTCGGTCTCCTTTCTTATGTATTAAGATTGTGTTGGCACTTCTCCATTGTTTAGTTATTTTACCTTCAAACAGACATTTGTTGAACAGTGTTTTTAGCATTTTTTTTATCGTGTCTCCTCCTTATTTTAGCAGTTCCGCCAGTATTTTGTCCTCACCGGCCGCTTTATTTCTTTTCATGTCGTTTATGGATTTTTCAATTTCATCTTCAGTTACTTCTGGTAATACCTCTGAGCCAACATTTTGTATTTTCCTCGAGAGATTCTGTTTAGATGATAGTGGTGGGTCATTTACTGGGTCATATATTTGGGTCATATAACCACGTGTTATGGTGGTATTCTTCTTAGTACTTCTTCATTGGTTATCTGTCTGTCCAGGAGATTCTCAGCATTCTTTAACAGGTCTCCGTTAACAGGTTACCGGTCCCCTGGGACCGGTGGCTTGACGCGAACACAGTGCGTTACCAACCGTCGGGGACCGGTAATGACGTAATTAGTTTTTACATTTTTACAGTTTTGTAATATAAATTATACAAGTTTTAAGATCAGTTATTAACAGGAAAAACATTTTAAAAATCATCATTGTCATTCGATTCCTGTTAAGAATATTTTAAAGTATCAAGACAGCTTACTATTTTTTACAGATTTAGATTAAAAGATCAAAACTTTTGAAATTTTATTAGTGTAAATGATATTTAAAAATAAAAAAACATGTAAACTAAATATTATTTACGTCCTTAGTTATTAAACAAAAAAAAAACATAAAGGTTAGGAAAATAAAAAAAATTTTGTGGTTATTAAAAAACCCATCAAGTTTCAGAAAAATAGAGTATTTTTATTGCTATTGAAGCAAGATAAACACATTCCTGGTTGTCCAGGACATTCATTGCAGTAACTTGTTACTTTTGTCACCATATTACTTGCCTGTTTGCTTGAATGTGTTTCTCTTAATTTATTATAGCATCCTTTGCATTGTCTTCTTTTGTTTCCAGGTCCTGACGGTTTAACAAAAGTATGTGGAACTCTTTTGGGAGTAGTGGTGTTTTCGTGTGCAGCTGTAGTAACAAGTAACTCCTGCGCCAATCTTCTTCTAAATTCCAGTATAGATATTTTTGTGGAAAAACTAATCTTGCTATAAACAATCCAGGCATTTACAATAGATGTTCAAAGCAAAAATTCAAAGGCTAGTTTACGGTACCATTTTAAACTTTTTCTTAAAACGGAATGATAAGAACTCATCTGATCACTAAAGTCTACTTTTTTTTTGCTTGATTGTAATCAGTAATTGCCTTTGGTTTCAATACAAACTCAAATTGCCAGTTTCGCTTTCCTGTTGGTTCTAAAGTAGTTGTATGGGTTGGATCAGTGATTAACATCCATATCCATATCCAACATAATTTCAATTCCATACGGGTGTATTTTATTTGGCAGTTATTGCTTTATTTGAAGTCTTTCTTGATAAGGTACTATACTTTCATCGACTACCAAAATCCATCCTGGAGTTAATGCAGCTTGAAAATTTTTATTCAGTACTTTTAAAACTTCCCCTAACTTATAGAGCCAATCATCTTTATTACACTGCTGATTATTACAAAAATGAATGCAACGCATCAGTAAAAGGAACCTGTCTCGTCTCATGGTAGTCGTAATAAACTCATGCCTGAACATGGGATCTTTCGACCTATATAAATTTATTGCGGAACCATCAACTAATCCCATAACTAAACATATTGAAAAAAAAAACGTTTCAGTTCGGCTATATCGCAGTCAAGCCAGTAATGTATACGTGATTTTGATCGATGTATATTTAACATTATCCGAGCAAATATATTTGTTTCAGTGACAATATTCTCTAAAAGATCATCGGTTACAAATAACTTATAAGCGTCTATAGGATTTTTTATTTCGTTAACATTAAAATTTAATATAGGCATATCTTGATATTGATTCAACTCACCAGTTTCATTGTCACTCTCACCTATATCATGCCACTCGTTTTCATCATCATTTCAGCGATCCAAATTGCACACGTGTCTAAATACTCTGTTAAAAGTGAACTTTTCTGTTTTTTGGTTTTTCCAAGTATTGCAGATAGAACGATTAAATATTTAAAAACTTTAAATTATGCTACAACTTATTTTATTACTGTCTTGTTAAAATAATGTCTATCTCATAAACTAATCACTTCAAGTCAAATTTATTATACAGTATGGACAAAAATAAAGGGATAGCTTGGACTTATCATAAAGTAAATTTGTGGGTAAAAAACCAAAGAAGATCAAGATATTTACCATATAATGAGGATTGCCAAAGCAAACTCAAAAATAGAAGAAAGAACAGAATAGATATTACCAGCAAAAAGAGCGAAAGAAAAACCAGAAGTAAAATGAAGAAAGCCGATAGTTTGCAAAAATAGACGAGAGAAACGTGGAAAAAAGCGAAAAGGACGAAACGTTACACAAGAAGTATTTTTAAACAAAATACAAGTTGCAATTTATACGAAACTTTATATGTTATGTAAGTAAAAGTTTATTAATGCACTTATGAATTTACTATGATTTTAAGACTCAAAGAGACAATGGTTAGAAAAGGTATACTGCCGTCCTAAGCCAAAAGTGCGCATCTCA